GGAATTATTTTCTCTTCGAATTCTATCGCGTCTTCTTGAATTGTTTTTCAAGTTTTTTGCACAATCCGCGGCTTTGACAATATGCGAATATTGGTGTACACGTCACTGTCGAGGTTTAATAAAAACCTGACGCGATATTGACCGTCGCTTGGGTTGCCTTCGCGTTGGTTGTTTTAGCGGATAATAGTAAACGGGACACAAGAATTAATAACTTAGCTATTGCATCAGGATCCACAATTTATTGTTATCCTACCGGCTGCGCCAATTAGATTTTTCTTAATTTGCTGTGAGTTTGAATCTTATAAAAACCGCGCACAGCTCTAACGGTTAAATTGAATGAAATACAAGGCGATATTTCACGACAAGTTAATTTATTGAAGAACAACTTAAGACTAAAATTCAGTAGAACTTATTATGCTTATTTATGCTGAGTGAGGTGTCTATTGCTTTGTGTAACTGTACAAGTGCAGCTGCAATTATCTAGTAAGGTGTTTATTGCTTTGCTTATCTGTTTGGATGCAGCTGCAATTATCTGAATAATGTTTTATTGCTTTGTTTAACTGTATTTATGCTTTTGCAGGCGATAAGCGCTTGCAGATTCGCAGCTGCAATTATGCTACCTTCTTATATTTGTCACTATACCTGTGCATATGTGCGAATATGCCACTATATAATTTATTATTTGTGCGATTTAGAACTTCTGAGCGAATAATTATCAGTGTCAGAAATTAATTCTCACAGTTATCCGAGACCAAGCGCTTGTATATAAGTGCAGTACGTACACGCATACAGACACACGTACATGGCAAGCCAGCTCGTTTATTTTCGTTCCGCTTTGTGCTAAGCGGTGGCTGTGCAATTGTTGTTGTACGCATTTTTCGTTGGCGCGTTTCGGTCAAGAGACGCTCGCTTCCCTATGCTTTATTGATCAGGCATATCAGTTTTTTGAATTCGTGTGGCAAATTCGATTTTAATTTAAATTCGTAATTATTAAATCAAATTTAGAGTCACATACGGCTACTAAGGAAAGTTTTGACGATTCAAAAAAGAAACGCAATAAGTTCGTTAAAAGCATAATGCGTTTGAATGATCAAATAATAGGGTAAATTAAACCTAGAATCTACAGAGTTAGAATGTAGATTAGAAATGCTGGCCTCACATATAGATACAGCGTTAAGATATCAGACTCGAGTAGAAACTTTTGACTCAGATGATGAGTATCGTGCCGAGCTCGAAGAACTTTATATAACGAAAAAAGCTCGTCTAAGGTCCGTTATAAAGACATTATGTCCTGCAACGCCTGCAGGCATGCCCGAGCATATAGAAATTCAATCATCTGATCTCATGTCTCTCTGGTGAAGCTGTAGGCACTGTAAGAGCGTTTTAAGTCACCGAGGACAATTATTATATATTATTATAGAATTAAACAGCCATAAGAGAGTATATAACAATTAATTTCTTATATTTAAATGAAAATATTTCAGCTCACTTTAACCTGCCAAAAATAACACAACCTTCTGCGGCATCATTGACATTATTGATTGATACTGTCTCCTCCATTAATGGTTCGCAATGTCGATAGGTGATGGCAAAAGGATATCTAACACGATTCTCATTCACCTCATTATGAACAAAGTTGACCCAATGACCAGACGAAAATGGGAGGATCAACTCGATTATGCAATCATTCCATTATGGAGTGATTGTGAAACAGCCTTGAATCGTAGGTATCAACACCTTTCTGCTGAAGAATCAGCCAAAGCTTCGTCTGATGGCCCATAGCCAAAGTCAAAGGCTGTTTTTAAAAACAACAATCGAGGTTCGTTTTCGTGTTTTGGGGCTAGTGTAAGAAACGATCAAGAGACCCCAAAAATGTTTATATTGCGGTTCGGAAGGCCATTCGATATTTAATTGCTCTGCATATACCGCGTTATCAGTACAGCAGCGCTTTGAGTTCGCTAAGGAGGCTCCTTTATGCATCAATTGCCTTTGGAAGGGGAAGACTGTTGCCAAATGTAAGGTAAACAAGTACAGAGTATGCAGTCGTTCTCATAACACATTCTTGCATATATTCTCTGCCGTTTCTAACACTCGAGCATTACCACCACCCCTTGACTCCGCACAAGATCAACCATCGACTTCACATGCTATGCATGCGAATGTGTCTGATAGTGTAATCCTAGCTACCGCAGTCCACAAGTGGCGAGTCCGTTTTGGCTAGTGCTTTACTCCATTCTGGTTCACAAATTAATTTTGTAACAGACGTGCTAGCACAACGATTGCAGCTGCGTAGAGAAGAGGCTAGTATTCGCTTACTTGGGATTGCTCAATGCAATACTCAAGTAAGAAAGAAGAATCATACAGTGGTGAAGTCGCGAGTCAATTGCAGTGAGTTCTCGCTAGATTTGTGGATTTTGAAGACCATTTCGGGTTACCGGCCTGACCATACGGTCAATGTCAGTGGTTGGAAAATCTCTGAGAACCTGCAATTGGCTGATCCATATTTTCATAAGCCGCAGAAGATCGACATGCTCATCGGAGCTGAGACGTTCCTTGAGCTTCTGTCTATCGGTCAGATTAAACAAGGTCCGAATTGTCTGATTCTGCAAAAGACACTTGTTGGCTGGATTGTCAGGGTGTTACACGCCGTCAAGTCATTAGAAGACTCATGCTGTTAATCTGAGTTGCCAAGAAGAGTCTTATACCTCGATAAACAAAACATTGCAGTAATTTTGGACATTGAAAGAACATTGCAGCCAAAAAGGTCCGAACACTTGAACAGCAGTTATGTGAGTGCCACATTCTAAATAATTTTGAAATATTACCGTCAGGTCGATTTAAAGTAAAACTATCATTAACATCAGATCTAAATCAGCTTGGTAACTCCTTGTTAAGCCTCGTGTTTTGTCGCTTGAAAGACGCTTGTATCAAAATCTCGAGCTAAAGCGTATGTACTTAGAATTCATGGAGGAAAATTTAACTTTAGGTCACATGTCTGAAATAGATGATCAGATTTTAAGAACTCCACACTACATTTCGCGTCAGTGTGTTTTAAAGCCACAAAACACATCGACGAAGTTACGCGTTGTTTTCGACGCGTCCTGTCGGACATCGTCTCAAATTGCGTTGAATGACCTTCTAATGGTTGGAACGACCATTCAAGCTCTTCGACTCTGCTTCGATTTAGACTCCACAAATATGCGTTGACAGCTGACATCAAAAAGATGTATATATAGGTGAATGGTGAATCAAGCAGAACTAGATTTCCAGCTCGTAGTGTGGAGAAATAACCCATCTGACTCTTTGAGTTCCTTCAGGTTAAGCACATTTAACTTGCGTCACTGCGACTGCCTAGTTTTTAACAATACGGTGTTTGGCAAAGCTAAGCAAGAGGAACGGGTCATCACAGCCTCAAGCAGCTGACGTTATCGGGCACGATTTTTATGTTGATGATTAATTGACTTCGAAGTAACCAAATGGTTTTCGAATTCTCCTGAGTTCTCCGCAACAAACGCAGCTAAGCCGATAACGACCTCAGAGTCTGACACAACCAAAACACTTGGCGTGTTGTGGTTGCGAATGAAGATGCCTTTCAATTCAAGCTAGACGATTCATTCATGGGTTTTAGAGCGACAAAACGGAACATTCTTTCGGTGACATCGCAGCTATTTGACCGGCTTGGCCTGTTAAGACCTCTGATAATCAAGGCAAAAATCCTACTCCAAGAGCTTCGGCTTCAGAAATTGGACTAGGATGAATCTGTCCCTCAGAGTTCAGATAACTCGTGGCAGCAACTAAAATCTACTTTGATTTAGTTGTAACGAATAAAGATACCACGATACGTGTTTACAGAGCCAACTTAACCGATCGAGATACATGGTTTCGCCGACGCCTCAATAAGAGCGTTTGGCGCATGCGTATATATACGCAGCCATACTGCAGAAGGTTGTCGTATTTCGTTGTAGACATCCAAATCTAAAGTAGCCCCCCTCAAGAGAATGACTCTTCCCCGAATTGAGTTGTGCGCGGCTCACCTTCTCGCAGATCTTTGTCATCGAGTCAGAAGTCTCATACCGATTGAACGGACGGTTCTTTGGTCTGATTCTGAAATCAAGCATCATTGGATTCGGTCACATCTAGGTCTTTGGCAACATTTGTTTCGAATCGAGTGGCTAAAATCCAAGAATGGACAGAGAAATCTGAATGGCGCCGTGAACCAACAGAGTAAAACCCAGCAGATATTGTTTGAAGAGGCTGCGATGTTGATGAATTACTTGCGTCGATGTGGTTCGATGGGCCTTCATTTTTGAAGGAACCAAAAGAATCCTGGCCGCTTAACCAGCATCTGATGACAGATAAGATGCGAACTTTAGAAGTACGCAAAAGAGCTGTTGGACTAGCAGCTATGGTAGACCGACCAGATATCTTGGAAACTATCGATAATTTCTCATCGCATAACAGGCTGCCGAGAGTGTTTGCTTATGTGTTCCGCTTTATTTAAAAATGTAAAAATCGAGAAGTACAATTTAAAACTATCCCTAAGGTGCTCGAAAGCAAAGAAGCTTTCGAGAAAGTAGTTAAAGCCATCCAACGAGTTGAATTAAAGATGATTAGATCGAGTTCGAAATTCGCAATTCGCTGGAAGCTTCATTATATACCTGCATTTGACGAATTGTCATACTGGCCCAAGAGCACTCGTGAGTCCTCTTCGAGAGTGACTTTGGCTAATCAATGGTCAAGAGGTCTGTCGTCAGACAGTGAGATCATGTATCCGTCGCTTTAAATGCAAACGTCTGCTAACACAAATTATGGGAAATTTACCATCAGATCGACTCCGAGCGCTTCGCCCATTTTCTATCTGTGGCGTCGATTTTTGTAGCCCAATTAGCACGACCTTTCGAAAGTCGTACATAACATTATTTGTTTGCTTCGCCTCAAAGCGGTTCACTTAGAACTAGTATCTGCCTTATCCACTAATACATTTTTAATGGCTTTTCAAGGGTTCGTCGGCCGTCGAGGAGTCCCACAGACCGTCCATTGCGACAACGCGACGAGCTTCGTAGGAGCAAGTCGCCAGTTCCTGGAGTTGCGAGCTCGAATCGAGGAAGAGGCGGACGCAATTCGCGAATTCGCATCAAAATGCAGATGCGAATTTGCGTTAATACCGCCAAGAGCTACGCACTTCAGGGGCCTGTGGGAGGCAGGTGTGAAGTCTGCGAAGCACCTACTCCTACGGACGGTAGGCAGCCTGTTGCTAACGTCCGAAAAACTGCAGACGACTCTTGTCGCAGTGGAAGCCGTCCTCAATTCCAGACCCCTGGGAGCAATAATCGAGGACCCAAGCGATGGCGAGGCTCTAACGCCAGGCCACCTACTGGTAGGAGGCCCATTGAGGGCTCTGCCAGCAGAGGGGACCCCGGACCAGCAGGGTCTCACCTGATTGAATCGATGGCGAGCTGCCTCGTTGCTCAAGCAACAGTTTTGGCTGCGATGGTCAAAGGACTATGTGCTCGGACTCCAAGTGCGGAGCAAGTGGCACCGTCGCCTGCCAAACGTCATCGTGGGAGAGATGGTGGTCGTCGCCGAGGACAATCTGCCGCCCCAGCAGTGGCTGATCGGCAGAGTAACGGCAGTGCACGCAGGAGAAGACGGAGTCGTTAGAGTGGCAGAGATTAAGACGGCTACTGGCGGAAATTTTAAAAGGCCGATCCACAAGTTGGCTCGGCTACCCGTGGAATGAAGCCCCCAAGCGCTTCATGGTGGCCGGTGTTGGCGCAGATCCACGCATTAATTTTAAAAATGAATTTGAAAAACATGAAGTCTAGTGTAAGTTAGCTTTATCACTCACTTTGAAGCGAATTGATTAATTTGATTTTTTACACAATTGGTAGTTACCAGTTGTGTGCACACATTCCATCGTGCGTGCTATAACCCTAAAGTAGGCAAGAAAAATATTTGTCCTGTTTGCAAAACAACAATTTCATCGTCTAACCCAAGTTTGGTAGAAGACGCCATTGCAAAGCCGACGGTATTTATTTATTTATTTATATGTGGTCGACAAAACGAGTGTCTTCCAATTATTCAACACATTATAATTACAATTAGAAAAATTAAATGCTAAAAGCCTAGATAGAGAACACAAATTTCAAATAGCATCACCGACCGATGGAGGTGTTTTATTTGCCAGTCCGGCCAGCTGTGCCCCTTTTCACAGCTAATTTTGTCAGTGACGCTATTAGAGCCTACATCTAAGAAGAAGGGTGTAAGTAGGAAAAAGTGTTCTTAAGTAAAATTAAAAATAATGTTAATTTGCTATAATATTTAAGAATATACCATAAATAGGAGAAAAGAAAGGAGGAAGATTGTTAATAAAGTATAGAACTGTATGCTAGATATACAGAGTGTTAAGTAGATAGAATAAAGAGATAGTATTGGGAAAGTAATGGGAAATCACCGACCCGGTGGGGGAAAATTTACAGCCAGTCCGGCTAGCCATGCCCCTGCTCATAGCTGGGAATGGTCAGTGACTTCCCGAAGGTATCCTGAAAGCAACGATTTTATTAGGGGTAGAGAAAGTTCGGTAGAGAAAACGTGATGCAAACTATTGTAATTTTTACATAGCACGCGAAAAGAATTGTGCATAGCGTAGTCTGTTGTGCACGTCGATAGGAATAAGGGGCGGTAATTTCTGGTTGGTCTAGCCGGAACAGAGAATTGAAGACGCCCTAACAGAAAAGGAGAATCTATATCGCCAACAACCAACTTATGTAGAAAGACAACACCGAGAATTGTCCTACGGTTGGTCAACGACGGAAGATTAAGAAGAAGAAGCCTGCTGGAATAGGATGGCAACCGAAGATTAGGGTCCCAATTTAAACCTCGTAAGGCAAAAAGCAGAAATTGCTTCTGAACAGATTCAATACGATCCTGGCTATTGTTATACTGCGGAGACCAGATGCAAGAGCAGTATTCAAGGATAGGGCGAACAAGAGAGATGTACAGAAGTTTCGTTATAAAAGGATCGTTAAACTCTTTAGACCATCGTTTAATGAATCCAAGTACACCTTTTGCCTCATTAACGATGGTATCTATGTGAAGATTGAAACAGAGTTTAGAATCAAAAAGAACGCCTAGATCCTTAACTGTTAGTATACGTTGCAATGGGGTATTGTCGATTGTATAACTGACCAGATAAGGTGTAGTACGATTAAATGTCATAAACATACACTTTGAACAATTCAGATGCAATTGATTGGCCGAGCACCAAAGTTGCATAGCGTTCAAATCGTCTTGAAGACGAGAATGATGTAGGGGATTGGTGTATGATAGAATAAGTTTCACGTCGTCCGCATACATGAGTACACGGGCATGGGATATAACAGAGGGAAGATCATTTATAAAAAGAGTAAAGAGTAAAGGTCCAAGATGACTACCTTGAGGAACACCAGAAGTAACGTGAACCTGTTTAGAGGTAGTCAGCCTCAACATTACTCTTTGGGTCCTACCTTTTAAATAAGAACTAATCCAAAGCAAAAGATACGGAGGAAAACCTATTCGGTCAAGTTTAAAAAGTAAAATGTCATGGTGCACGGAGTCAAACGCCTTACTGAAGTCAGTGTAAATGACATCAGTTTGCATTTTCGAAAGGAAAGCATCATTTACCAAGGAAGTAAACTCAAGCAGATTGGTCGTAGTAGACCGATTCTTTACGAATCCATGTTGAACAGGGGAAACAACTGATTTGCAGAAATGCTGCAAATTCGAAGTGATTATTTTTTCAAATAATTTAGGAATAGCGGACAGTTTTGCAATGCCCCTGTAATTTAGTATATCAGACTTTCCACCTTTCTTGTGGAGAGGAATGATATAAGATTCTTTCCAAGCAAAGAGATGGAAAGACAGAAGATTCAAGGGATAGATTAAAAAGCTTTAGCAATGGATAAACAAGGGAAGAACTACACTCCTTGAGTAGACAACTAGGGATATTGTCAGGCCCAGGAGAGAAAGAAGATTTTAAAGAATTTAAAGCTAAAAGGAGAGAGGAATGGGAAATAATAGGGGGAGGTATAGAACTAGAGGAAGTAATAGTATAAGGGTAAGAATTATTATTAGGACAGACTGAAGAGTAAGTTGATTGAAAAAAATTAGCAAATAGGTTAGCAGAATCAGAGTCATTGCTAGCTTTATCCATCCCGAGAGAAAAAGAAGATGGCAAACTTGAAGATTTACGCTTCGAGTTTACAAAATTGTAAAACTGTCTTGGATTTAGGGCAAATTGCCTTTTGCAACGAGTTAGATAATTCTCATAGCATTGAGAATTCAGAAGAAAGAAGTTCGACTTGGCTATGGAATATTTAGCCAAGTCAGTACACGAACCAGACTTTTTAAACTTTTTAAAATATTTTGATTTTATATTTTTTAGATTCGTTAATCTGGGAGTAAACCAAGGTGGCTTTGAAGAGGTAGTCGAAGGAATTGACTTGGGAATACACATATCTAAGAGGGAGTTTAGGGTGTTATAAAAAAAGTTAATAGCAGTATTCATGTCAACCGAGCATATAAGAAAGACCAATCGGTTGCATAAATAAGCTGATTCAGCAATGAATAATTTCCTTTGCGAAAGCAACGGCGGGGCTTATTGGCTGATGAGCACGAAATGAGAGGATTACAATTGAACATTGCAACCTCTAAAGTAGGATGATATACATCCTCAGGAAGAGATAAAGGAGGGGACCTAGACACATTAGAAATAAGGTAGTCGTTAACAAATACAAGATCAAGTGTTCTATTCAAATGATTAGAAATTGAATTGATTTGAAACAACGAAAGGTCAAGCATGCAATCTATAAAGTCATGCTGTGCTGAGGGCACTAGATAATTTTCGGCAGTGAAAAGTGACCAAGTGATGTTCGGCAAATTAAAATCACCCAACACAATAAATAGGTCATTATCACGCACGTGTGAAGAAACTTCTTTAATACAAGAAATATGTTTCATATAAACTTGATTATCAGAAGAAGGAGGAACATAAGAGCATGAAATATAAATATTCCGTGTAGGAAAAGACACCTTGACTGAGACAATCTCAGCGTCAGTAGGCGTACTAAAACAGAAAAGTTCTGACTTGAGAGTGGCTTTAACGGCAATTAATACCCCACCACCCCGACTCGGCCGATCATTTCTATGCAAAATAAAATTATTCGAAAAAACCTCAAAATCAGATATGGTTGAGTTTAACCATGTTTCTGAAAATGCGATTATATCCGAATCGAAAGAAGTGCTGGCCATGAAAAGATTTTTAAGTTTTGAAATAAGACCTCTGACATTCTGATAGTGAATAAAGACTTGGTCAGAAGAAGAAGTTAGTTTTTTGGGGCAGAAATGGTACCATGTATTGAAGGGACTGGAAGGGTGACAGGCTGGTTACGCTTTTTTGGCTTGAACTCGTGGACAATCATATGTGGAGGCCAAAATTTGGGATCACAAATGATTGGGAACATATCATGTGAAACATTTATTTTGAAAGATGATATTTCACGAGGAGTTGAGAAATTAAATTTGGTAATTGACACGCTAGCAGAAGATTTGCTAGCAATATAGGCTGCCAATGACTCAGAGGTGGTGTCAGACGAAAGTCGAGACACAAAAACTTGCCTACGAGGGGCAACAACAGTTAACGTAGGAGCTGAAGGGGCTGGAGGGAGAACAGGATTTGGTGGGGCCAAAGAGGCACCATGATTGTTTTTAACAATCTGGGCAAGATTGCGCGCAGGTCTACCTTTGCGGCCAGGAGCTGAGGAGGCTGAGGCAGTTTGGCTAACTGGGACAGGTTCAGGTACGGGGTCTAACGGGTATGCCTATGCCTATTGGAACCCGAAGTCAAGGACCTTCAGAAGAGATTTTGTCCCAAGGCACAATGTCCAAGAATCTTCGTCCGCAAAGTGTCCCGCCTATGGCAGCAGAGCCAGATGCAGGCTCTCGTGTATTACACACTAGGCGAAATACAGCAGTCAATATCTGATTCAATGGCGGCAGCCACAGAAAGTCAAACAAATAGAACTAGGAGCTCTCCAATGATAGAAGAATTGCGTCCACATTGTAATGGTGGGTGTTCGGGCTCAGGTTTTGCCTTTTGTTTGGCCATCAACCAAAATAAAAGAAACGGCCGTGGCCATTGCCTAACCGGGTGCATAGGGATTGGAGGTTCGCACTTCTTGCTCATGCTCGGACAATAGCTCGTCGGGCTGGTCGGGTTTCCTTTCCCTTCTGCACTTACCATAAACACATAGTTTAAGTGCGATCAAAAAAAATTATTGATTTAAATAAATCCATTAAAAAGCAAGCTCCTAGTATGTGTAACATTCCCAAACCATCACTATAAATTGTAAACGGCTAACATGGGTACTTGACAGACAACAATTGAGGAATTAAGATATCATATCAAATAAACTAATATAATGACAGATAGTAAATAATTTACCGTCTTGCTATATAAGCTGCATTTAAATGATCATATATATATCTATATATATATATACATATATACATGCAGTTCCAAGTGTTGTTTTGAAGTCACTGTGGGTTTTCACTGTTACTCACTCAATATCCTCCGAAGCAAACGTTGGACCCAATGTGTACGACAAGTAGGATCGCTGTTTCTAAATGTTACAAAAAAAGTTTATAAGTTTATAAGCACATATATATATATATATACACATATATATATATATTCACAACAAC